CGCTCTCGCGCTGAAACTCCAAATACGCCTCGCAGAAGAAACCCAGAAAATGCCTATCACTGCAGCTGAATAAACAGAAGATTCAACTGCTTTCATTGATTCAACGTGACTAATAAACACACGACTATGGCAATATACGATTTATCTGAGTTCTCATTATTATAATTTTCATTAAAATAAAGTATATTTATAATGCAATGCCTTTATCACTGCTTAAATACTATGAAATATGCTGTGTGCCTTATTCTGTGTAAGAAGCCACATCATCTCACAGAAGGATTTATTTCAAACACTCGACTGACATTATGAAGCGAGTTTGGAGTAAAAATATGTTATTAAATGTGGTATTTTCACATGCTTTCAGATGGAGCAGCATTTACTTCACAGAGCCGTAGTTCACTGAGAAGCTATGCAAACAGCTGTCATTAGCGTGAACGATTTCTTCGATCGATAATCGCGCAATAAAATCGTCTGCGATTTTTTTGCGTAACTTGTCAGTGAACTACGGCTATGTGTAGTAAATGCTGCTCCATCTGAAAGCACGTGATGATGATTTCCTGCTGATTACAAAACCGGCTTTACTAACAAAATGCGCATGACAATCGCATTCCATTAATCATGCAGCCCTAGTTTGACCTTCTAAGAATCAGATCACAAGTCCATAGTATTTGTTGTCTTTTTCACAATGCAAGAGCAGAATAAAAAATAAAAAGCCGAGAACCTGAAACGCAGTGCTTGGTAAGACTAAAAGAGCCACATAAGTTCAATGTCACTTTAAAATAGTGGCAAAGTGACACATGATTATTTGTATTTTGTAACACAACCTCAGGCCTACGGTCTTCATGGAAGCGCAAACAAACGTCACGAGGCACTTCCAAGTCGTGTGGAAACTGAGAAGTACTGGAGCTACATCGGCCATTTGAACGGTTTTGTTCAGGCCACCAGACTTAATCAGGAAGAGACTGTTGAATTTGATTGCCGCCCCACCATGAGCACTCCATTCAATCATCTGCGCATCATGCTGAGCACAAGTGATCACTTAGTCTAAAACGAGCACTGCAGAAGTGACTCAAGCACCATTTGTGGAAGTCACAATGAAGCATTTGGGAACTGACTGTCCATTTGCTAGATCCATCTCTGACTTCATGATGACATCATTCCACATGAAAACTATGGGCCAGATTTACTAACAGTTTGCACTAACACAAATCCTTTGGCATTAAAAACTACAGTTTGGATTTACTAAAAACATTAGCGATGAAAGACGTGGACAGTTATTTTTGCAGCTGATCTTATTGCATATGCATTTGTAGGAGTTTCCATTTTAGTCACAAAATTTATGGGTAAATAAATCATGCAAAATTATTTACTAAAGTTTGTGGTAGTCGACTTACTGGTTATATATTTACGCCATTATTTAACGTCCCCAAAAAGCATGTCTTAATCCATTTTGTGCTTGTGTTGTTAGTAGATTGCATGCACCTGATTATTATCGGCTCTGTTTGTTTGCGACCCTACACTAATTTGCGCTGGTCTTGGTTGATTGCATTGTTCATTATGGAAACGCACTGGCTGCGTCTGACTTCTTTCATAAACACAGCAAATGTCTCTTCTTAGGACGATGATGTCTATAAACCACTTATTTCTATATCTTTTTATCTATACTCTGCTAGCATTCAGACCATCAGTATGGCGTGAAGGAAACTCTTGCACTGTGAAATGTGACTTTGGCTGTTGTTTGCAGACAGAAAGCAGGAAGGAGGTATCAATTCCACCAGCGTTGATTTTGTGAAGTCTGTCTTTATAAGGCTAACCATCCCAATGAACTCAACTGAGTAATATCCTCTTACCATTGCTCATACTTCTGATTCAGGCATCTGAATTTTCCCTCAGGAATCAATGAAGTAAGATATCCAACGTTTTCCCGCCAATTTCACTGTACTCCTTGTTCAACTTTATGTGTAGATATAAACAACATATTTCATTTCAACCTGCTCATTAAAAACATTTGGCAAACACGTCTTCCTTATGCTTTGTCCGTGACCAAGAGAATCATTTGTGGTGATTGCTAAGACAAACAAAACTTATTATTGCTCAAACTTAATGATGAACAAACCGCTAACCTGAAGTTAAACTTTGTCTTTGGATGGCATTTCTAGATGAGGGTTTTGTACGGGCACCCGCATGTTCTTCAGGAAAAACTCAAGATTTGGCTGATTCAAAAACTGCATAAAAGCATATATAGAAAACAAAAATCCCCCAAATATTCCTCCAAATGGGAAGTTAACATCATATGTCTTACAAAACTTACATTTGGTTAATAAGAATCAAGTGAGCTTTTGGCAGAGGCTAAACCCTAAAGTCTGTAAGGAAAGGATCAAATTAAAAACAAATGATACAAGTTTCAAAGTCTATCCAAAACCAAAGAGAATGAGCTAATTTCTCGAGGAAAGATGGTGTGCCGTTACTATTGCTGAGCTATTTTGGGTTAACCTTTTATTCTGTTGTGCTTGCGCTAGCTGCCATGCTACATGTAATTACTAGCAATTTATGCACTCTCCCATAATTAGTTGCAGGCCTCGGCTGAAACCGTTCCAAGAGTAAAAACACTCCAAGAAACACAGATAGATAGATAGATAGATAGATAGATAGATAGATACTTTCGAGGTCCACAAAGGGTATAAAAGTAGTGTAAAATTAATCCAGACTTGACAGTGACGCAATTATTTTTATGATGAACAGATCGAAATCTATTGACAAACCTCACGTCACATGACCAAATGGGAGGCTGAGGTATGAGTTTGATCAATGTTTTGATTCGAGAGTGAATAAAGACCTACATTTTGATCTGTTCTTCACAGAATGTGACTGTGTTGCTTAAAAAAACGTATAAAATAGTCATCTGGATTAGTTTCATGCTACCATTTGATCCTTATTGGAGCTTGGAAGATTTTGGTCCTATTGACTTTCATAATATGGACAAAAACAGCTGAAACATTCTTCAAATTATCTTCTTTTATGCTCCACAGACAAATGAAAGTCATACAGGTTTGGAACGGTGTCAGGGTGAGGAAAATATTTTTTGGGTCCACTGTATAGTGAAGTTACTGAAAAGATTAGCTAGTGGCTAAGGCATTGTTGAGGCTTGAAGGCATGCAGGTGGTTATCCAAAGACTTGGGCCTTGATTTTACACCATGGAAACTGATAACATTGAGGTTACACATTCCACGCAGCTGGGCACTGAACGCTGAAGGAGATAAGACGTTTCGAGCCCCCCTCGCGCTTTCTCTAATCAAAGACTTTCATTTGTAGCCATCATCCATGAGTTATATGGCTAAGAAATTGTATTTATACCATGGCAGGTTTTGATACTAAAGTTCAAATCGTTTTTTTGATTTAGAAGAACTGTTTTTTCCTGGTATTCTCTTATATGAGCTACGACAGTATTGGAATATATATTTAAACCTGGTGTTTTGAATCTTGTTCCTTCCCTAGGGAAAATTAAGGTGCAAATCAAACAAACAACACCACTACACAATCAAACTGAACCACGAAAGACCTCCCATCTGCCAAACACAGAGGAGAACTGTGTCCTCACCAAATCTCCCATCTGGGACGACGGAGGAAGGAAAACAAACCTTCTTTCCCCACCCCAGTAAAACAATAACCTGAGGTTTTGGAAGAAAGAGAGTGAATTCACACTGAAATCTCCAAATCTTGCTCCTAAATCCCTTGGGTGTCCTAAAATGTACTTTGCTACGCTTGATTCTTTCACATAGTTTGGCACATTTAGCCTGTAAGAGTAAAAAACAACGAGGAGCTTTCATGGAAGGTAACAGGAAAAAACAGCTTTCCTCAAAACTATGAAGGGAATAAAACCATGCCAGGTTTTAAACAAAGTCCTTCTCTAAGGACGTTAGATGGCAGGAACAGTCTACCTACAGTGGTATTTAACTACAGACCAGCAAGAGCTGCCTTCACTCTTGTAAATCTCAGTTTGTTGAGTCTCAAGTCTCAGCTGAGGTGCTTTAATAAACTTGAGAATAAACGTCGGCCCCCCAATACCCACCTCCTCGCCCACGGCTAGGACGTAGACTGGCAGAATCGCTAACATCTGGATGGCACGTTTAGCTGGATAAAATACTGCCTTTGTTCTTTTGCCATGGTTGTGATCAGCAGGCTAGCTTTGAAGGACCAGCCAAAAACTGAGATACGAGGGTACTGGATGACGTGTCAACGTGACTAAGTGGTTTATTATTAATCTCTCATCTAACCACTTTCAATAAAGTAGTTACGCATTCCCACTGTAAAGCATCTGCATACTTTTGTGGCAATACCAAAATGCACTAAAGACACTTTGTTGGATTAAATGAGTATTTTGCAGTAAATAGCCTACATGATATGATAATAACCAATCTTTGTTAGAACCATCAAGGCCAAATTTCTATTGCATTGCATGACAACACGGATTCTGCATGACATACTAATTATTTATACAAATTAAAAGTGCATTAAATGTTTTAATAGCTACATAATAACTGGGTTTGGTAGTAACCGCATATATTGGATCAAATAGACATGTTTCAATTGTCAAACACTGATGTTGTTAAGCAGACTGATCCTTCAAATATCAATAACGATTCATTGCATCCACATATAGAGGAGAACAAAAAAGTAGCAGTGAAAAACGACTTTTAGCTGTTATTGTAATTTTTTTAGCTGTTACTGCATGCGTTTTCCCACAGTGCTAAAAGCAAATCTCATAGTTTGCTCTGAATTTGATTAATAAACTCACATTTTGTGTTGATGTCAATGGATGTGATGGTCTGTATAACGTTACAGAATACTAAAACGTGCTGTTTTAATTAATTAAAGTTAATTCATGCAACTAAATATTTCAGATTGTGATGCTGAATGCGTATGAACATATAGCAGCTGCTTTTAGGTTGCATTTATGAAGTATTACATTTTTCCGCATGCAAAATCTGTACATTCTTACCTTTATGACTAAACGTAGGAAAACATTTATCCACTTTTTGTCCCGACCAAAGTTTGTGCAATAAATTAAAAGGGCGCTGTAACATTCAGGGTTTTTTTTCTGTGTTAAGACTTACTATACAGCTCCGTTTGCTAAATATAAACGAACTGCTCTTATATTTTGTGTTTTTTACAGCGCAAAAGTCTGAGAAAATAAGCGGACTTCATCCGTTGGGATCACCGCCCCACAGGAAAAAGTTTTCACGCTGTGCTGCAGTCAGTCCATCTCAGCTAAGAATGTGGAAAACACGACCATCTGATCTTACTCGCTGCATTCTGTCAAGTCCCGCCCTCACTCTCATCATTGTGTACTATTATTGGTAAAGCTTGTGAAGTGCCTCTAAACTGTCCAATCAGAGACCGCTTTGAGAGGCTCCTATTGGCCCATCTCGTCGCAGGAGGCGGGACTAATATGTAATACACACCACGTGACAATCAACGATATCAAAGAGTTTCATAAGCGGTTTGAACAATAGTTTACAACAGAGTAATGATGCTTAGAATTTTGAATTACCATACATTTAAAACAAAAAAAAACAATACAGCAAAACGGTTTGAAGTCATTATGTAAATAAAGTCTGACTTGCAAAACCATGGCAATACTGACCCCTTGTGTCTTTTGCGTTTTTTTGTTTTTATTGCATCTTGTAAAATTTAAATATAAATTATTATTATTCCAAAATTCTAATTATTGAACATATGTTTATGTATATGTGTAACACATGTTTAGATCAAATAATAGACTGTACTAAAGTCTAAAGTAAATCATCCACTTTGTTTTTTCAACCCTATTAGTGTTGCAAAATATTTTGTAATTACTTCCGTTATAATAAAAAAATATAAATAATAATTAAAAGTGAACGCAAATTTAAAACTTACCGCAAGGTTTGTGTAGAGTGAATTTCAAGCATGATTTATGCAATAATTTAGGATTTTCCGTAGTAAAATATTTCTGGAATTCAAGCTTGCACCCATGGTAATAATGTCTTCATTGTTCATAATGTTTTAGTGAATTTTCTTTGCCTGTTATTCATATTATTTTTGGTTACCATATAAACGATCATTTTAATTATGTTAAAAACTAAAACATCTCTTCACAAACTGTAAATACACTAATGCAAATACCAATATTTTCGCTCTTGACAGTTTTTATGAAAGAGAAAGCACTACAATTTTTTTTTTTTTACTTTGTGTGCTTTGTTTCACAATTATGTGTATCTGTTAACTATATTTACATTAAAAGGCAAAGAAAAAAAACGTGTAAAGTAAAGTATCAAGCAAAACAATAAACATCTAGGTCGAGTAATTTGTATTCTTCTTCTTGGCTTTTAACGGCGGCTGGCAACCAGCGTAATTCATTTGTATTATTCTGTCGATAACCGTAGACGATTGGCCCTTGCACACCGTATGCAAAACCCTTAATTTTGACTGACAGGTGAAGCAGCCAATAATATTCCACATACGTGATTACGTGCGCACGTACACGTCCCGGTTATATTTAGGGCCTATTTAAGCAGCAAGCCAGTCTAGACCAATACTGCCCTCAGCGCTTGTCAAAAGCCGGTTTTTGCTCAGTATCGAATATGTCTAGCACATTCCTGTGTGCTACAACACTGTAAACTATAGTGCATTTATTACGTGCGCACGTACACGTCCCGGTTATATTTAGGGCCTATTTAAGCAGCAAGCCAGTCTACACCAATACTGCCCTCAGCGCTGGTCAGAAGCCGGTTTTTGCCCAGTATCGAATATGTCTAGCACATTCCTGTGTGCTACAACACTGTAAACTAAAGTGCATTTATTATCCGTCGTATAACCATATTTAGCCTGGAATTAGCAGTGTTGATTATCGGTCAGTTGTTGATCAAGCACAGCTCACTGAAAGGACACCGATCGGGATTGTTTGCACCTACAGATGTTTCTTCTGTTATAATGCAAGATGCATGCTGATGCTCGGAAGGGGCTGCTCGACTGTGTATTACTCGTCCATTTAACCTCCTCCACCTACTGAAAATAATCGTAAACCGCTGAAAATCGTTGATATTTTGGGGTAAGTGATCATTTAGCAGGATGCAACCGTGTGTCCGCCCATATTTATGAGAAGCGCAGCCTCCGAGCGCAGGCCATGTAGCCTAGAAAGACAACATTCATCTCTATTCCGTGTAAAATTGTCGGTTTTCGGTTTGAAAAACCATTTAAACACTCTGACGGGATTGTCAACGGATATATGCGGCTTTATACACGCGGTTTAAAAGGATAATAACGTTATAGCAAGGTCATGATAAACGCTTGAGGCATTAGAGGCTCTTCAGACGCGGAACTTACAACAAACCCCGAGGTAAAAATAATAGAAAAGCTGTTTTAACGTGTGTGTTTATAGTCACTAACAGTCAAATAAAGATTAAGCTAAGAATTGGTTATATGTGAGCTTTTGTGTGTGTATATTTTGTTCCAGTGTGCTAGTGTCCTCGCACGCCCAAGTGAGTTCGGGCCCTGCGATGCGGTGGCGCTCAACTGTACTTTTTAACGATTAACTTCTTTTAACTCGAGTTACAATCTAAATCACAGATTATTATATCATACGTAAATCATTTAACCTCAAAAAGGTGCATAAAATACTTTTAAGAATGGTAGTCAGTGAAAACAGTAAAAACATGTCGCATAATGTCGAATCGTGGTATTATGTTCTAGTCTGAATATTTTAGTTAATTGATTTCAAATTATGATAAAGAAAAGTCAAAGTAAAAAGGCCTTACAGAGGACTAGCCTTTGCAACTTAAAATTGTTATTTTATTCTGCTAGTGTATCACTTACTGAATTGATTGTTTTCTGTAGATTAATCGGTTTTGAGTTATTGTAACGAAAATTGATCTATAATGATTATACACAAGGTGAAGTTATATAGCAGCATCATGTAAGATAATACATAAATTCATAACGTTAAATCATGGTATTCTATCATCTGTTATGCATGGAATCAGTTTATTTAATTGGACTTTTTAGTTGTAGTGAAGAAAATTGATTACAGCATAACCAGAAGGTTGAATGAATAAGAATATAGGCTTGTAATTTAAGATGACGACAAAGTTATATGTAATCTTATTTATAACTGTAATTTCAAGCAGTAGTATTCTTTTGTGGATTAGCTGATTCAGTTCCATAATGACTATTTCTGTAAATATATTTAAAGCGGATTAGTTATAGCTATAAATAGTTTTAAAAGTAAGATAGAAGTTGAGAAGAGTGATTAATGTTTTATATGAAGTTATTTTGGGTCAGTCCAGTAGACCTGGCATTTTAAGTAATGTCAATGTGACACAAACCTTCGCAGTGTTTCCTAATTGTAGGGTGCTGTGGTGTAATGGTTAAACATCTGGGCTGGTAGCTGAAAAGTTGTACGTTCAAACCGCAAAAGGCTTTATTATTGAACTATCACTGTTTCGCTCTTGAACAACATAGTTAATCTAACCCTAGGTTACTCCAGCGGACTGAACCTGTAATTAGTTAACTGTAAGTCGCTTTGGATAATAGCATAAGTCAATTGACAATTATTTGAAGTCTGGTAAGTACATTAAAGCTGAAGCAGAAAAAGTCTGCTTTAACTCCTCATTGATTTTCAGTTTTTTTTCTATTGCAGGTGAAGAATGACAGAATATAAGCTTGTGGTGGTGGGCGCTGGAGGCGTGGGCAAGAGCGCTCTCACCATCCAACTCATCCAGAACCACTTTGTGGATGAATACGACCCAACTATAGAGGTGAGGCATGTGTACCTCTGTCTCTAGCGCTGTCAGGACACTCACTTTGTGCTGCCACACCAAGCTGTGAAACTCACCCATATGTGAATATGCAAAAAATCTACTGTTAAAGATTCAACAGCGCGATCCGGTTATTCTGGTTTAAAAGGTGGATTCCACATTGAAGGCCATTGTGTCTCTTGCCTTTCACTTTTCTGGCTTGGCACCCTTCTAAGTTTAGATTGCAAATATGCATAATGTCAAATAGGCCTAAGTTTTTGTTTGTTTGCTTTTTCTTTGGTGCTTAATGTGTGTGTGTGTGTGTGTGTGTGTGTGTGTGTGTGTGTGTGTGTGTGTGTTGGGCGGCCAAAAATTGGCTAAAAAGTGTAGTTGTTTGGTGTGTAGTTGTTTTTGTAGTTTTGTTTAAAGTTTTTAGATGGCTGTAGTTTTCTTTTGTAGTTTTAGATGCTTGTTTTGTAGTTTAGATGTTTGTTTGATGTTTTTATGTTGTAGTTTTTAGATGTTTTGTAGTTGTTTTTTACATGTTGTTTTGTATTTTAGTTGTTTTTTTTAATGTTTGTAGAGGTTTTGAAGGTATTAACTTCTTTTTTGTTTATGTTTGTAGATGTTTTGACAAGATTACGGAGACAAATTGCCTTTGGAATAATGTGCGCTGGTTAATTAAGACCAAGAGCATGCATGAAAATGCTGAAAATAATCTTTCTAATTTTAATTTAATGTTGACTTGCACACCATTTTTCTAGACTTAATCTACACCTAAATGAGCACTTTAAAACTCCGATACAATTTTTGCCTACAAGTACAATTTGTCATTTTGCAAATGTCAGGTTTTTAATATAATTTTTGGGATAATTTAGGCTTGGGTATTGTGATAAATTGATATTACAGAACCAGTACAGTTTGGGATTTATATACTGATCAATATGCTCAAAATATCTTTTCACTTTTGCAGGACTCCTACAGGAAGCAGGTGGTGATTGACGGGGAGACGTGTCTGCTGGACATCTTGGACACTGCAGGTCAGGAGGAGTACAGCGCCATGAGGGATCAGTACATGAGGACAGGAGAGGGCTTCCTCTGTGTCTTTGCCATCAATAACACCAAGTCCTTTGAGGACATTCACCACTACAGGTATACACCACATGGTGTGCAGTCGCATAACCTGCAGAATCAGGTTTGTAAAGGGTTAAAACGCCTCACAAAGTCAAATTAATTATAGACGTGCAATGTTCTGTGTGCTTTGACAGAGAGCAGATAAAGCGAGTAAAGGACTCTGAGGACGTCCCCATGGTCCTGGTGGGGAATAAGTGTGATCTTCCTTCCCGCAGTGTGGACACAAAGCAGGCTCAGGATTTAGCACGTAGCTACGGCATCCCATTTATAGAGACCTCAGCAAAGACGAGACAGGTATGGAAAACATGGGCGGTCGTATACTGAATACAAGCAAAGTCCTTTTAAGACAAGTCATGTC